ATACCAGTCATTTGTTTTAATTAAAATTTGGACAATCTTATGTTTCAAACAGCAATCATCATTATTGACTGTTCATTCGGGTCAACAAGATAAACCTAAAATCGTGGGAGCTCCAAGAGTACATCAAAAACTTACTGCATCTTTGGCTATGGCAGAGAGAAGATTTTGGAATTCTATCTGGCCTAGTATGAAAAAACAATTAACAGGAAGCGTTATTGAGAGAGACGTTCAAGTAAGCAAATACCAAAAGACACCTATATTAATTAAGTCACTAATCTTGCCATTTTTCCTTTTTTTTTAAAAAAAAAAAACTAGTCAAATGGTATAGCATATTGGGAGATGTTTATGGACCTAATAACATTTTTATGCTTATGTGGGTCTGATATTATAATGTTGTATTCTCAAGAATGGTACATACTGTTGGATAACCTTGAAACTGAGGTAATTACTGCCTTTACATTCGTTCACTTTCAAATGAAACTCTAAATTTATTACTATATAATTAATACATCTTTTATACTTTTCTTTTTACTAGCATGAATCACCTACCACGGCGCAATTTTACCAAAAAGTCAAACAAGTCAAAGCAATGTTTGATGATCCACCATTAATGATGCAGGAAGATACTTTATCGCAACAATTGTTCTTAGAAGTGAGAGAATCTATGAGGTTGTATTGTGAAATTAATACTGCTGGTAACGTAAAATTATTCGGTTACTATTAGGGTGGAAACTTGTAATTTTAAATTGTATAGAAGGGATTTAAACATAAAGCTTTGATTTATTTTCTATTTATTTTATTTGTAATATTCAACGTATTTAAAATTTAGTTTTTATGTTTATTCCTATAAATCTTGAGACTTAATGAAATTATCTTAAATTGTAATCCCTAATTTATACCATCATTACCTTGTAAATCTACTTAGTCTGGGAAACGCTAAAATAAACGATTTTTATACGTATTATTTGACAGTAACATTAAAAAATCACTGCCTTTATGGTCTTCAATATCAATACCTCTTTATTGGTAGCATTGGTGGTTCCTCTAATTTATCCTAGCTAAAATTTTACTTTGTATTGGTTAAGGGTGTTCTCAAGCATCTCAATCAATTATCGTGTTTTAAAAATGCCAGTATGTGATTTGCTAAAAAATCAAATAATTTTTAACCAATCATATGCTGGCATTTTTCCAAATTCCTGTTTCCCGGTGTGACACATGAAATTTGCTGTTCACAGTAATTTGAAAAGCATGATAATTTGTCATTGCAAAAATAGTTCTCTAGGTATTATTAATACATACGTAATGACTTGAATACTTCTCAAGTCTAAAAACGCGTCATTAAGCAATCTATCGATTATATGGCTTCTGTAAGCCAATTCTTTGAAATCCGGGCATATAAGCGGATTAAATATCCTTATGAAACATGTTAAACCACAAAACAATTAATAAAAGTATCTTTTAACTTTTATATAAAAGTAAATTTATTTACAAAATCTTACAGGTCGACGGTATCCACATCAATTCCAAATGTTTTTCATCATCAAAATCCTCTTCGCCTTTAGAATATCCTTGCATATAATAGTCATTATTTTTCTTAGGTCAACGTTGTAGTTATTAATTGCTTGTTTGTATTTATCAAGCAATTTCTCAACGTCACTGTTATCATATTTTTTAATGGCGGCTGTTTTTCATACTTAAAATGTGAAAAGATGTCAAATGTTATGCCCTAAAATTACTCGGTAGAAAAAGATCATTTATATACTAACCTCTATCCCAAACCATTCCATTCTTTTGATGAAAATATTTTAACCAGACTTCGATTGTTTTTTTCAGCCAAAAAAATTACTTTATCTTTGTATCCGGAGGATCATAATTCGCAAAAGTTGCTATTTTAGAATCTATATAGCCAACTTCTAATGCTACGATGCAAAGTCACCTATAATAAATAATTTTATTAATTATCAGGCCTAGATTGCGGGAGGCAATTATCGTGCTTTTCAAATTACTGTGATCAGCAAATTTCATGTAATCTAGAAAAAATGATTCCCGGTGTAAAAAGCACGATAAGTATAAGATATTGGATCATGCGATGATAAATATCACAAAATTTGTTTTGTCGGAGCAAATGATTGGCTGACATGTGCCGCGTAGCGGCACGTTTTCAGCCAATCATTTGCTCCGACAAAACAAATTTTGTGATATTTATCATCGCATGATCCAATATCTTATACTTATCGTGCAATTATGATTTACGAGTCGTGGTTGGCTAACTGAGTTTTAATTCGAGATTGTTGTGCTTACGTAACAACGTATAAAAAATAACAAAATAATCTATGATCATAAGAGTTTGCACGATAATTAATAAATCATGATCATGATGACACTCGAGCATCTCAATCAGTGACGATACTTATAGAATTTAAACGCTTGAGCATATTCTTTTTCTATTTTTCATGATCTACGTTATGCAACCTAAAATACCTTAAAAAATTTCTACTCAACAGGTTGCCGAAACTTTAACTTCGGCTGCGTCGGCTTCTCCTTTTAATGATTTACCGATTTAAATCTTTGTTGCAGCAACAGAATCAATTTATGGAATTATTAGCGAAAGTTGTATTACAGCAAGAAATAAATTGTTTTCTTGCGAATACTAATATTAATATTTAAACTTTGTTGAACGAAAAATGAAATAGAAGTATTCATTACGGTTTGATTAAATGTTAAAAGACGGGTTGTATTTATTGTGTTGATATCAAGGTATCGATTATTTGTTTTAAAAGCTTCGAAAAATAAAAATAAAGTGGCTATTTTTTTCATATCGGTTAAAAATTTGTTGAGAATTCATTGTTTACTATGTTATGTAAAAAAATTAAAAGTAATGCTTATCAATGGTAAATTTTTGAAGATGGGTTGTATCTCGCTGATTCCGACTATTTAGAATTTTGTCTCCAATCCATTGAATAACACCCTAACGCTAAGTCAATCAAATTAGATTCAATGTTCGAGTCTGAAATCTTGGTTTAAAATATAATAACTGATTTTTAGCTGACATTTATTAGAAAATTAGAATTATCCCATATTAAACATAATAATAAATGTATCATAATGTAATTAACATATTAAATACATTGTCATGTTTGGTTAGTTAAGCCACAAAAAAAAAACATAAAGAACTCATACACTCGAACAAATTGTAATAAGGAATGAAGCTAAATGAAAAAGAATTTTAATGACCGAAGAACCAAGATTAGCAAATGGTGGCATGATTGTTGAGGTACATAAATTAGGAAGAATGCCACCTTCACTACCTACGGTAACTCTGGTTGAAATAGGCAATTATACGGACCCAACACTATCTATACCGAATCGTAATTAAGTACGTAGTACCCATTCGACATTAAAATACTTTGAAAGTAAAATCAAAAACTTGCTATCACATGCGGTTTCTTTTATGTCTTGCTTGGGCAATTCGCAATTCATAAGCCATAAGATTTAACGCTACCAAAAGCTGTAATAGATCTTGAAAATAAAGAATTCGCAACTGGCGCTTCACATTTATAGGTGCATTAAGGGTTCGTACACTTGGTGATTTCCTTTGCGAAAGTGCTTTTTCTTTTTGGCAGATTACAAAATTAAGGCGAAATGCACATTTGCAACAAAGAATAATGAGATAACAAAAATTACTTTCTACGAATTATAAACGTAATCTTACATGAACAATTTATAAAATTGAAATACACTCGTGGGCGTTATTTTGAAAATCATGTTCTTCATCTCGAATTAGCGCCCATGGGCGTCCCGAATTAACGCATTACAATAGAATTAGGGATGTTAAATTGTGAATCCAGTCCGGTCCGATCCTAGGATCTGCTAGGACGGTCCTGGATCTAGATCCTTGAC